AAGTAATTCTTGTTTCCCACTGTCCCATTTTCCAATACACCACATTTCTGCACTGACAACTGGTAATTGCACAGCAGGATCTGAAACATTTTGGCAATAGATCACAAAAACTCTTCAGGATGTAGGAGGAAACATGGGATTACACAAGAAATGGGAAAACATTAGCCAGTTAATATGATCAGAAAATTAACATTCAAAAAGTCATTTACAGGTTTCAGTGTTAGCGTATTAAGGAAACAATTCAAGTAGTTTAGAACTGTTGTTTCATATTGCTGGAAAACTCCACCACGACTCTCGCCTGTGAGTTTATTTATCTCGCCTGTGAGTTACTTCTACCTTTAAACTGTGGAGCAAATTTCTGCAACGCTATACCAGAAGTAAAACAGGGTCTGGTCTGTGACAGACCAGTGTCTGTCACAAGTGGGTCCCAAAAGCCAAGAGTTTCAGCAGTCCCTTTGGAATTCTCACCTACTCTTGCGTTTACACAGAACAGGTCAAATCTCATCTGTTCCCCGACCATGTATAGCCACATTTTTAATGTTTATAATTTTGCAAGGGTTCTGCCTGCAGCAATACCGGAATCGAGATGCTGGCAAATAATGGACAGACAACTGTAGAAATAACATTTTTGGTTTAGTGTTTGCAATTTGTTTTACAGCTCATAATGAAATACTGTTAGAGATATTCTACATTCATACATTTCTAGCAAAATACACTTTTTAAAACATAAGGCACTTTAAGACTTCCTAAAACAAATGCTCATGATAAAAACTCAACAAGAGGGCCGGATGAGAACCCTTTCTACCCTTAATGTTCAGGTCAGTAGAAGATCAATCCTCTAGTCAGGCAGGCAAATGAAATAATCAATAGAAAGGTTTCCAAGATAGAGTTACTGCTGTATTAGTGTGCATTCTGAAGTAGTCTACTTGAAGTATCTTCAGTTGGGGAGGGAGGGCATGGTGTGAATAAGATGCATTAAAATAGTTCTTTGAACTGGGTAACAAAGACACATTGCAGGGATTAAGTTTCATTACTTTCATTGGATTAAATTCCTTCCATTCATTATTGCCAACAAGAGTAAGGAACAAAAAGGAGCTAGTTCTCCCCTCCCTCCCCCCCATTCCCATTATAATTCAACACAAGATTTCAAAGACTTAAAATGACCAGGACAGAGGCCCATGAAAAACTGCATCTGGCCACTTCAGAGTACGTTTAAATATTCATTACTGACTTCCTCAAGTCTCACCTCTTATTAAAGAAAGAGAAACATAAAAGAATTGGCAACTGTGTAAGTCGCTTCCAGTCAAACTGATATTTTGCTTCTTTTTAACACGACCTCACTGTTCACATTAAGTACCTGCATTCAGAAGCGCACCAGCAGCTCCCCTTGGCAGAGAGATGGCGGGGCAGAGGATGAATGCAGGCAGGGCCCCGGGCCCCGCGGGGAGGAGGGAATGGGCAACGTCGCTTCACACACTTGTGTCTCGGCTTAAGAACAGTTTCAAAAGCCCAAGTGCTGGGCTGCTGTAGCAACAAGGGGACTGATACCAAAACACTGACTGAAGACTTCACTCAGAGATGCATCTGCAGGAACTGAAATCCACTATTTAAAACTGACAAAAGAGCTATAATGCTGGCAAAACCACTGTCTACTTCTCAAGGCCTGTGAGAAGGGGATGGTAGAAACTAGTCCCTACCATCCATCGGTGTATTTTCAAGTTGTGTCTTACCTATTTTATTGCCCAGTACATTTTCCAGTCTTTGGGGGCTAACAATTGCTCAAAAACTTGACTCCCAGGGGCTCAGTACGCTAGGCACCACAGTACAAACCTGCATCCCTAGTCCTCTCAAATCCACCTCCGAGGGAAAAAAAACCAAACCGACCAACCAAACGTTTGTTTTTCTTACAAGTCCTTGATTGTTTTAAATTCAGACTTACTTGAATTGCACTTTAAAGCCCAGCAACAAAAAGAAAACTTGGTAGCTATATTCAGGAATTTATATAAATTTTTAAGAGACAAGACATTTTATCAAGTCTAAAAATGCACAGAGATACCAACTGCGTCAGCTGTCAAGTTTTGACCTGGCTACAGTGAAGAAGCTGTGAAAAAAGATTAGCCTATTAGCCCTATTAGAATTGGAGCAGAAATGGGATGCCTGTTCAGTTAGGAAAGAATATGCAGTTAAGGATGGAACTAAATTAGAACCAGCCACCACTGGTTTTAGCCCATCATGCACAGAGCTGCTACTGTGTAAACAGGAACTGTGGTGAAATCTAACTTCCAAGCGAAAAAATTCATGACTTCAAGACAGCTGTTGCTAAAGAGAAGAAAGGAAAGTGGTACCTCATGGCCCTGAGCTCAAAAAGATCTTGAGATCTCAACTTGTGTGGCTCACTTTCACTGGCAGAAGAGCCAAGCCTAGATCACTCAGTTGCTTACTACTGTTATACTAGCAGCCAATTTAAAATTGTGGCTCTGCAATCAGTTTACTGTCCTTCAGCACTGGTATGACGATAGTCACTTGGGACAGGAGGAAGCATCTGAAAGAGGAGATGAAGAACAAAACACAGGCCACTCACTGATCCAAATTTAACTAACAGCATGCAGTCAGTTTCTCTCAAAATCTGTAGATTCTTCTTCCCAAGCAAACCTCACAGAATTTACTAAAGTGACATCCAGTTGCTTTGCATATATACCTTATTGTGTCTTAAAAATATACTTTAAAAAAGTTATATGGAAAGGCACAGAACACGTGCAATTTAGCTCCTTGTGGATCTGTGCACGTGGGGAATCTTCAGACTAAGTTGCAATGATTAATAATGGACGGGGTTCTATTTTACAACCAGATCACTTCTTTCAAATTCCAGTTCTCTCCAAAGGAAACTAGGGAAATGAGCAGTGCTGTTAAGGAAATACAGGCGAGAAGTTCCACCTGCACACCAAGACAGACTGGAACATACAAAGTTTCACAGACCTTGTTCTTCAGGTCACATTAAAGGAAAAATTGTAGTCCAATAAAAAAAAAAAATCACTAAAGCTAGTTACAAAGAGTAGAATTATCAAAGTGCTTTAATATATAAAGTGTCAAATATAATTAAACAGGACCATTAACATAGAGCTGCCATAAGATATTCAAACAGGTACATGCGTTTTCTGAATGCAGGAGAGGAGCATGGGTTTTTCATTTCCCCCGTAGGGCCAAAGTGGGTTAAGAAAAGTTTTCTTGTTCGTTTAGCTTCTTAACACAGTCTGTTTGCTCTGCTCATGCATTCAAAGGCACAGTTGGATTTGCTCTATCTGAAACTGCATCAAAAGGACTGTCTGCCATGAAATATTAATAAAGGGGCAGCTCTCACCAAGCAAAACGCACAATAGCCCCATAAAGTAGATTTACAGATACCTGTCAATTCATAATATTAATCTTTATAAGCTATTTCTTGAAACTTAAGAATTCTGAGCTATTTTCTGCAGCTTTCCTTTAAATATAGTTTAAGACAACTGAATGTGTTATTTGAACAAACCAACAGACTGCCACAGCTGTTATAAGGAGAGCAAACGCAAACAAATAAATAAGGAAGAGGTTTCAAAACCACCTCATGCAAGATGTTCAGACAATGCACCTTAGCCTCCCTACCAACTTTTCCTCTCATGTTATGAATAGGAAAAAAAAAAAAAAAGCCAAAAAACATTCTCCATGGCACTTCTCGCAGTACTTACAATTGATGAAGCTGCTGCCGACTTTAAGCAGATGACCTTAAAGACGGAAAGTAGCTCTGTACCAAGCATAGCAGAGCTAGCTGCAGCAGGGGGACATGGTTGCTTAGAAACAAGAAATGTCAATCAAGAGCCTTCCTGCACTTCACAGATATAAAAGCAGATTTGCTCCAGTACACTGAGGCTCAAAAACATGATATAGAGCATCGCATCTGCTCCCTTGTACAGGCATGTACAGCCACAAGTCTGAAGCAAGACCAAGTCTCAACAGAACAACTCGTCTGTTTTCTGAAGGCACCATAAAGACAGCAACACTCCAGGTGTAATGGGAAGAGGCAGAGGGAGAAAAAATAAGGAATACAGTTAAGAGGAAACACTAAGAGCAGCCTGGTATAACAAGGGAGAAAAAAGGTGGCTCAGTTGGTAGTAGCATCTGTAACAGCACAGAGACCCTATGCCTCTAGGCAATGGAAGAGTAACCAGAGTTTGGAAAAATCTACTCCTGAACAAAACACACCCAACTCCCATTTTTACTGGAGGGGTGTAAAATCTGTAACTGAAATCAAAGGAGACAGCAAAGAATCAAAATGCTATATAAAACACTGGGGTCCATACATACTCACATGGCATCATCAGCCTGTTTCTGATTTACCACAGTGTTAAAAGATCTGGACAGTCTCCTTTGCTCTGCAGGATGACTGAAGTCCAGTGAAGTGTCATATATTAAAACCCTTCTCAATCCGCCAGTGAGAACAAATCCCCCTCCCCAGCCCGTTCAAGGGAGCAGGGGGGGTCGCCCAGACAGCAGATGTTTCTAGCAACCCCAGGCACCCTACAGGCAGTATGCCACTGAGTTAGTTCTCCTAAGTAGCACTGTGCCAAGCAAGTCTAGGCTTGCTAAGATGTTCTGCCCCTTACATGGACTTGAGGACAGTTTCTCCTGAGCCCTTCAGGCCAGAGGCTCATGCTTCCCTGTTCCATTACTGCTTTTCAAATATGTTTTCCTTCCAGTCTTCCCCTCTTGTTCCCTGTTATCCCAGAAGGACTTTCTGCATCCTGCGTGCCGCGACACTGGCTTCGTCCTCAGAGTCAGACTCGCTCTGGGAAGTAGAGCTCTGGGAGGCAGAGCTGCAGGGAGAGGAGCACTCTGGGGAGCACAGGTAGTGCATCAGCGGGAGGCGATACTTCCCGCAGAAGTCAACGAACTTGATTTGTCTGACGCAGCTGTCAAAGTAGACACCTGTAAGGGCAGAGGGGACAGTAACAACATATGAGACCCCGTGCGGAGAAATCTGTAAGGTCTACGAGGTTGTTGCGTCTGCTGCAAATGCCTCAAATTAGGATTTAACTGACACAGCACCGGATGTAGAAGGACAAAGGATACTGGTAGAAGAGAAGGGACCAGGGCACCTTTGGAAATGTGAAATTTCTTATCTTGGTTAAAAAAAAATCCTGTAAAACTGTACTTGCTAGGTGATTCAGAACAGCATGCTCTATGTGAAAAGACACAGGGCAGCTACTTCCAAAGAAACCAGCAATTTTTTTTTAGGGAGAAATCTCAGGCTGGGAACTTGCAAACTTCTTAAATGTCAAATTAATGCATGCACTCTATTTTCAAACTTGTAAAACCTCTTCTACCAGCTAGCAAAAATGCATTCACAAATAGACCTTCATAGCTTTACTTTTCTTCTGCTTGAGTGAAGTCACCACGCTGAGTTTGGATGCTACTTTCCATAGCAACAGTGTTGCTGTAACACACAATTACCTTCTCTTCTTGTCACAGCAACTGATTTCAGATACTGACATTTTCAGAAGTTTCCAGTGGTGTTTTAAGTCCTAGTTGGTCTGGAGTAAGCTTTTCTTTTTGTGAACTGCAGTACTATGCTAGTTCATAAGTGAAAAAGAGCAAAACCGATCCACTGTTCTCCAAGCTGTGAAAAACTCTAAAAAAGTAAACATTTCTTTCCCTTCCAACGCAAGTTGATATCACATATGCTTTGGTATTGTCGTGTAAAGGACATAACAGCCTGCATTATGACTGTGGGGTAGATACTAATTAATGATTTTTTTTCCTTAATATTCTAAAGGCTAAATGCACAGATCATTGAATCTGAATAAAGATTAAGCATTACGCCAAATTAAGCCCAAGCATTCCAGGCTTTTCTATGAAGTCCTGTCCTTCCAGGAGTCCTCTCCTCTTACTCCCAAGCAAGAGCTAAGCAAGTTGCTCTTGGTAACTGCCAAGCACTACAGCCTCTCTCCTCTTTTCCATCCAGAACTGAAGCTTGCTGTTCAGGAAGAGTGCTTGGAAAAATTCTCCTGTCCTTTACTTAGTCTGAGCTATTTCAAGTTGGACGGATCTGATAACTTCAGACCGTAAAAGCAGAGTGGAGTGCTGGGATGAGCTGCAAAGACTGACAGAAACACATTCTGTGTCTTATATTCCCCATGCAAATACAGTAAACCAGCACTACAACTTTGAACATCATTCCTAAGTGAACAAGGTTCCTTAAAGACAAGTTTGCAGGAGACCTGGAGCCAATGAAATACAGCTAGAATTTGGATGCAACAGCACATCTAACCTGACTGAGCTACTAAAGTCACGGCAAGTCAGAGGGAAAGAAAACCCATCAGGTAAAAGCAGAAAGCAGAGCAGTGAAGGTGAACTTACCCCCGCATTTAGGATTGGGACAGTTGCTGGCCAAGCTCAGATACCGGACAAGATTCTCTGGGAGATCGCTGGGAGCGTAGGGAACATTGCGAGTTTTAACTGTGCGTCCAGCCAGTTCCTGAAGGCTTGGGGGATTGTAGGTCAGGTCACGGACAAAACGCACCACCAGTGGGTTCCCACGCAAGCTCAGCTCTTCCAGGTGAACCAGGTTTAGGATCTCTCGAGGAAGGTAAGTCAGCAGGTTATTGTGCAGGCTAAGGGAACGCAACGAAGGCAGCCTGAAAAGGGAGATGGAAACCCAGTCAAGATGTGCAAGCAAAATCACCCCACGACTTGCATTACACACAGACCTGATTACTCTCCCCTCTCCCACCAATTTCTTTTTCTTTGGCTTTTCTCCCTTTTAAAGCATAAATTCACGCTAAAAAAGCTGCTGCTACTCCAGCACACACAACACCCTAGAAAACTTGGCTCAGCTCCAGAGTGCCTGTTAAAGAAATACAGTCTTAAATATGGTGCTGTCCCTCTCAGTATTCCTCCCACACACCTCCCCAAAAAAGGTAGCACAGAACAAAAGTATACAAACTGAGTGCTTTCAGGGGAGATGACGTTTCGTTGTACCCAGGGCATACATCAAGAACAGTTCCATGCAATACTTTGACTAAGTCACCTGCTTTCACTCATGCATTAAAGATGATTGCTGGTAGGCAGCCAACCCTGGAAAAACCCATGTTTTCATTGCTTGTGGCTGCATCAGCTTGCACTGTGATGCTACCAGATCTCACAAGCTAAGCAAGGTCAGGCCAGGCTAGCATCGGCACAGGTGACAAGCAAGTTTTTGGCTTGTGGAGAAGGCATTCTCCTCTCTCAGGAAGCACAAAACAATAGTCCAGCACAGCATCCAGGGATGCTCTCAAACCTTTAAAGGTCATCTAGTCCTACCCACCCTGCTATGAGCAGGGACATCGTCAACTACATCAGGCTGCTCAGAGCCCTGTCCAGCCTGATCTTGGAGGTTTCCAGGGATGGGGCATCTACTACCTCTCCGGGCAACCTGCACCAGTGTATCACCACCCTCAATATGAAATATTGCTTCCTTATGTCCAGTCTAAGTTCACCCTCATTTAGTTTAAAACCATTACCCCTTGTCCTGTTGCTACAGGCCCTGCTAAAAAGTCTGTCCCCATCTTTCTTATAAGCCCCCTTTAAGTACTGGAAGGCTGCAAGAAGGTCTCCCCGGAGCTTTCTCTTCCCCAGGCTCAACAACCCCAACTCTCTCAGCCTGTCCTCACAGGAGAGGTGTTCCATCCCTCTGATCAGTTTTGGGGCCCTCCTCTGGCCCTGCTCCAACAGGTCCATGTCTTTCCTGTGCTGAGGGCTCCAGAGCTGGACACAGGACTCCAGGTGGGGTCTCACCAGAGTGGAGTAGAGAGGCAGAATCACCTCCCTCAACCTGCTGGCCACACTGCTTTGGATGCAGCCCAGGATACAGTTGGCCTTCTGGGCTGCAAGCGCACATTGCCGGCTCATGTCCAGCTTTTCATCCACGAGTACCCCCAAGTCCTTCTCGGCAGGGCTGCTCTCAATCCCTTCATCCCCCAGCCTGTATTGATACTGGGGGTTACCCCGACCCAGGTGCAGGACAGAATCAACTGAGAAAACTCTGTGCTGCCATTCAATTGCTTTTGGGGTTACAGCTACACACTGAATTCTTCACCTCCCATCTTAGGCTACCCATACAGAGTTTGCAATGTCTTTTTTCCCCTGTTATGAAACAGATAAAGCAGTAAGCTATCCTCTAGAGCTGTGCCGTAGGATTTAACGAACACTGAAACATTCCGAGATGCTAGAATAAGAAATGCCAAGGGAACAGAGGGTTTGGTACAACACAAAAGTACACACAAAAAGGCTTTGGGTAAAAGACCAAGCATTCATCACTACGAATATGGTAACATGGCAGTTTATCTTTTCTGAGTTGCCTCAGTACTTCTCAGGGCTCTCTGTACAAATCCATTAATTCCCCTTAAGATGTATACTGGGTGACATTTTTTTTCCATAACCCTTTGATTGAGATTTCCATATTACATGTTCGTGGTCCACCTGCAGTCCAACATGCTGAGGATCTCCTTGTTCAAGTCTAGTCACATTAACAAACTGAAGGACAAATAGGTCCTCCCATGTGCTTTTATCCACTGATGCAGAAGAAAAAGTTCAGAGAGTTCATTACAACTGGTGGCTGATGACAGTAAATACTCACTGTGCCAGCTGAGGTGGAATGCTCTGGATCTTGTTGTCACACAGAACTAGATAGCTTAGAGAAGGCAGGTTTGCTAATTCAGGTGGAATTGAAGTAATGAAATTCCCTCCAAGGTATAGAAACTCTAAACTGAAAAAGAGAAGAGAAAACACTGCATTATTTCATTAAGGTCATTTCAAGTTTCATTTAACAGTAGGTCTTCTCATCTCCTGCATTTCTTAAACAAAACTTAGAGACGACTATGTGTGAAAGAATTTGCTGAGGCAGGAAAAAAAAAAAAGAAAAAGCTGAGTTGTACATCAAAATTACAGCAGAACAACTGTTTCACAACAGATAATGTTGAGATTTACCTCCAGCTTCCTGCAGTCACCATTACCTCTATAGGCAAGCACCAGACAATTATGTATTCCTATACCAACTCCACATGCAAAGCTCTTGCTCCTATTTCCAAAGAAGCAGCCTGCACACACAGGGTCTGCAGCACTGATGCAGCCGGTGGGAGCTCTCCATTTCAACAGCAGCAAAGCATGAGAGCTGCAGCTCTCCCTGAAAACCTTGGCCCTGCACAAGCGCTAGTCACTCTTCATGGTATCATTTGACTCCTTGGTGACTAACTGCAACCTTTCAGCAGAAGTCAGAGGCATCCATTCCGACTTTGACACAGCTCACATACTGACAACACTGCATCTGAGACAGCACAGAGTGCATCTAAGTCACACAAGAACCTGCATGCCATTTCTCAAACAGATTGATTTCAGTATACTGAAGTCATGGAGCCCAAAGCTGCCAAAAACATTAGCTGGGCTTAACTGCAGTTTGGGCCTAAACAAAACAAAACAAAACAAAAATCATTGGACATCCTGCAAAAAGTCAGTGGATGGGATACAGGAATGAGGAGAGGCACTAGATCCCTTCTGCCAGGTGGAGTCAGTATTTGCTGTGCATCTCTGCCCTTCTAGGAAGAAAGATTGGCAAGCACTTCTCTTCGACATAATAGCTTCAAGTCCCCATTTCACAGTCAGATAGTTTTCCTCCTCTGTTCTCAAATGTTGTCTGGCAGAGGAGCAAAAGCAAGTTCAGTTTGGGTACTTCTAGATGGGAAGAGACACCATAGCAAATCATGGTCCAAACGCTTTTTTCCATGCCTGAAAAAGGTGGATCCCATGGTCCTGTCTGCAGGTGCTGGTTCCAAGATCTGAGTAGGTACTCAAATTAACTGCCTAATGACAGTGTACACTGGCCCCATCTGATCCACCAAGCATTCCCTGCAGGTCAGGGAAAGCGAAGTCATATAGGCTCTGTCAGCCTTTCTTTAAGAACAGCTTATAACCTCCTTGGAATAGGAGACATCTTCATCTCATCCCAGCAACTGAGAAAGGCTATGGATACAACTGGCAAAGAAATACATGACCAAACCACCCAAGGGACATGGTAGTTGACCCAGAGAAGGTCTGAACCCTGCAACTGTGCCACAGCATGTGTTGAGCGTCAGAGAAGCTCCTCCCTGAGTCTTTCCCTGAGATGGACCAGAAGAACAGTAGGAAGAGACCATTTCATTCAGTTCTTGCAAGAAACCTGAAGCCCAAAGACCCAATGACAGCATCTGTTTGGGCTACAGAGGCCACTAATGCAGCACAGAGGTCCACCTGCCCATCAGGCAAAGATGAGAACAACAAAACCACTGCAACACACAGGAGACACTCACAGAGCTTAACTTCCCCTGAATCTGCTTACCTTTCTAAAGTATGTCAGAGGAAAGCTAGATACCTGAGATCTGAAAAAATGGGCACAGAATTACGCCATTTAAACTGAATTTGACTATATGAAAGGAATTAACTATACTTGCTTCAGCTGAGAGATAAAGTGGGACAGCACATTTGGAGGTTATTCTGAACATGCAAGAAAGTACACCAGGAAAACAACCACCGCCAAAACCCTGCTGTTGAGAAGTAGCCTCTCTTCCACAGACAACCTGTAGGTGAGGAGTGGGGGTAGGAGGAAGGTTGCTGTGCAGAGACCATATCAAGGGGAGATTATTTTTAATTAAATTTTGATCCCCTAACAAAGCCCAGAGTGTTAACCAAAATTCCTCCTTCAACCTCCATTGTTTCCCAAGGTGGATTTAGGCTGCTCGGCTCTCACTAGGAACCTAACTGCTGACCATACGATTCCTAGGCATATTTTAACTCCATGCCACTGCTGGAGCCCACATTAAAAACTGTCGGACAAGGGAATTCTACTAATGTGGATTTCAATGTTTAAACAAGGTTTAGATGTGTACAAGTCTCCACTTCCTAGGAAAAGTGAATAATTAACTCTTCATCCTCTATGTTTAAAGACAACAATGCCATAAAGCCATGTTGCGTAAAAACATATACTACCAGGGAAGGGGAACAGGCGTGCAAAATATATAGTCAATAATGGTTTTGAAATTCATTTCAAGGTGTGAAATGTGTAAGTTTCAAGACCAGCTTATCAGACAAACTGAGTGTGCAAAAACACTGCCCACAAACTACTTGCAGCTTTCAAATCCATTCTTTGTAGAGTCTATGTAATGAGAACACTCACTTACACTAGCTGGGATAAAAGCCCCAACATCAGACTACAAAACATCTCTAACTAAAAATCCACTAAATATGGTAACTCCTTCAGTGTCAAAGGGCTTCTTAAAAATTGTCTTCTCTTTATCTATCTTCTGAATCACCTTTTTGAGTCAGTAGACTAACAATTCACTGGGAGCAGTCTAGTACAGCAAATTCAGAATTTCCAGCATCAACCCAAGATAGGAATGAAATGGTAGATTTATTGTTTTTATTATTTTTTAATTAAAGGGAGGAGGTTTTGAAACTATAAAGAAACTTATTTTAAATACAGCAAAGATACTCTTATAGCTTCCACTGAAACACTGCTCAGTAGGCAAAGGAAATCTATCACTCCCGTCCCCCCAAATATAATTTGCTAGAAAGGACCTAGCGTAGTCTTGGCTGAGCAAGATGGAAGAATTAATAACAGCCATTTCTGCATCAAATTAAAGCATCAAGAATTGTTTGAGCAAAGCTAACCATGACACAGGCAAGGATTTTCAAGAGACACAACCCTTTTGTAGTGAGCACGGACCACACTACTGGGGCCACAGTTCATTCCTAGCTCATCTACCCCTGGCCTGATTTTTGTGTCGTGCTAAGCCCGTACCTAGAGGCCAAGGCAATGCTGGCTCTACTCGAGGGGCAGTTTGCTGCTTGGTAAGATGAGCAAGAACACTGCTGAGCTCTGCCCTCCTCACAAAAGAGCCCCTCTAATGAGGCAATCCACAATGTTTACCACAGTTTTTCACAGCAGGATCATAACAGAGATCTAACTAACCTTTCACACAAAGCCCCAGTTTTTCTGACAATCATTAATCTGCGTAGTCACTTGGACCAGCCAGCTAAGGTCTCGTGCATTGCTGTGTACACAGAGGGAGAGCCCAAATTCTTCTGTACTTTCAAAAGTCAGGCCAGGAACTTAGAAAAGCCAGAGAGCAACCAGCCTCAAACAAACATAAGCTCAGTTCCTATTTTTGAAGATAGAATAAATTATGTGCTTCCAACCTGCCACACAGGATCTGGCTGAACGAGTTTCAAGAGGGGACAAACACTAACAAAAAATGAAAAAAAAAACCCCACATTTGACAGAGTAACTTATGAAGACTCACACTTCCTCTCCTGCCTCTTAGCAATGTTTACAAATACACTAATAAAAGGCCAGAGTCCTTTTCAGCCTCATCTCCAGGCTCGCACAGCGCAGCCGGTGCCCACTGCTGCCAAGCAGCAGCCAGCACACCAAGCCCATCGTGGGTCGCTCCTCGCTAGCAGGGGATTTCACGCCACCGGGCTGTAAGGTGGCTGCGTATATCCTTTGACACGCGGGAAGGGAGTGGGGAAATGCTCAAACAACTCTGAATCAATTCAGGTGCGGGCAGCAAAGTTTAACACGCCAAGAGACCGTACGTTCTTGCTTGAGTATGTCCCTGAGGTTTCCAGGTCATCTTATAGCACAAAACAAATCAAAAAGCCCCAAAACACTCAGAAGTAAGAAGAGCCCACTCTGAGCACTTAGAGCTACTTTTGATACTCTGTCAATTACCATGACACTTTCATACCCATGTTTCCATGGGAGAACGACTTCTGGCACAGAAGATACTAAAATTTTCCATCTACCCTGTTTCCCCATAGATGCTTCTTTGGATAAAATTTAACAGCTGACATCAAAAAGATGCATCTAAATGGGTAATCTAAAAAAGAAACAATGAGCCTGATATAGCTCCAGGTCTTTTTAAGATAAACTTTTCAGCAAGAAATTTCCAGGGCAGTTTTGAGGCTCATGCAAGGGGAGGAATTTAAAAGCAGCCCACAATACACTCCTGCTAACCCTGTTCTACGATTTGCTAATTCCCGAGAGAACTGCATAGCCTTTGCTGACACGCAAATTTAAGATCAAACGGTCGTCTGAAAACTATTTGCAAAACGTTTGAAGAGGGCAAGAAAAAGGGAGGCAGCAAGCAGATTTCCTAATGCTGTATCTTTATCAAAGCTTCACTTGCCATTTTTTCCCACACTGTAACAGCCATTCTTAAGTGTATGCTTGTCTAACATGCTTAATACTACCCACGAATAAAAGCAAATACTCTGGTTTTTGTTGCATCTAAGCCTTCACACAAAACTCAGATGAATCCAGTTAGGCATTTGAGGCCTTTGATCCCAGCTCTTGCACAACTGGGCTTTACTAGAGGAATCCAAGCAAGAAGGAAAGGAGCGTGCACGGCAGACGCCTGGAAAGAGCCTGGCTCTTGTCCAAGCTCTTTCCACCTGCCCCTGATGCTCTACTGAGCGCAAGAGTATTAACGAGGAGACTAAACTCCAAGTTCACATCAGGAGATTCAAGGTATCCACAGCATTTTGCTAAGCTCTTTGCTGAGCTCTTTATGGGACACTTGCAAGACATTTCCTCAAGCGTGCACACTGATGAGGGCAATCCATGCACCCTTAAGCCAAAAGCTGCAGTTGGACAGTGAAGTTCAGAGCTGCTCTTTACCAGACTTGCCAAATAAATTCTGTCTGGAACGGGCACAAGTAGATGACCACATTTCTAGCTCACCAGCTAGATGCCCCT